TCCGTCTTGCCGCGAGGATGTCGAGGACGCAGAAGCTGTCTTTACCGGACTCCAGATTTCCATTCCAGGAGGCTTCTGACCGCGGCTCCTCTGAGCTTTTTACGACTAGTCTCTTTAAAGTCTGGTGTTTGCGTTGCCCACCTGTAGCTCATCAATGGGGCGGGGCATCAGACAAGGTGAGTTCTGTGAAGTCAAATCACATCATGAATGGAACAGCGGACACAGACAGTAAAGACAATAACAAGTGTGAAAGTCAGAGCCACAGAACGGCTTTTACCTTCTTCAGAGGTCATCTTAGATCTTAGAGGCTTGACTGACGAGCTAACCAGCATTTTTCATTCTTATCATTAACTTTGATGTTAATGCTCATTTCCATCTATTCATATTAATTAATTAATTACAGTAAACCTCATAAGGGCAATGAAATCTGTCTGTATTTTATAATATGAGTATGAAGCTAAACTCAAAGCAGATCAATAAAAAAACATAAAATCAATATTTTGATTGACTGGATGCTATTCTTTTAACTCGGAACAGTTTCAGGATCTACCGAGAAGATACATTGAGTGTTTAAAACCCCCAGCAGGTCCATGGTCCTCCAGCAGATTGATTTATATTTCTGAGAAGTGACATCACAGTTTGCAGCTGATCCTCAGTGGACGGCTTTATTGTCGTTCATCACGTTGCAGCACCTACTGCACAGGACGCACCAGCGTCTCCGGGGACTTCGGGTGAAAGATCGGGAACAAAGAAGGAGCGCGAGAAGCACAAGGGAGCACAGTACCGAGCAAAGGGGGGGGGGGGGGGGTGCAAGGCGCTGAGGCTGAAAGTAAAAGCGGAGTAATCTCTGCAGTTTGGGGATTAGTTTCAGACTGTAAGCATCCATTACATGGCAGTCATACCGTATAATGGGCCGTGCATGTGAAGAACCACATGTTCACACTGCGGTTATAACCCCAAGATGTTGGTCATGTTAATCATGTATCCAATTAATTTCACCACAGCGAGCCTGATGCATACTGCATTTCTTTGATCTGTATTAACTGATCATTTATCGCATACTGTGGGCCTACATGTCCCAAAAACTATTTAGGTAGGCATTGTTATATTACATCTGCTATTTTAACGGACAGCAAATGTTGGCTTAGTGTGTCAACTCTAGGAAATGCACAATTGATCATGAGATTTTCGATTGATGAGCTAGTATTTGTTCTTATGGGGCAATAATGGAAGGTGTTACATTGATTTAGTACAGGGAGTTTTTATTCAACAAGTAATTAAGTAATTAAGTAATTAATAGAATAAATGGAAAGAATACTTTTTCAAGCATAATATATTTAAATCATGGGTTCCTACAGAAAACTGGATACAGCATAGAGGTGTGTGTGGGGGTGGGGATTCAAATCAGCCGATGAAGTGTGACTTCCATGTTTAAAGTGACTTTGCAATTGACCCATATCTGTTACCACGGCCCACATCTGTTAGCACGGCCCACAGCTGTTAGCATGGACCCACAGATGTTAGCATGGACTCACAGCTGTTAGCATGGACCCACAGATGTTAGCACGGCCGACAGCTGTTAGCACGGCCCACAGCTGTTAGCACGGCCCACAGCTGTTAGCATGGACCCAAATCTGTTAGCATGGACTCACAGATGTTAGCATGGACCCAAATCTGTTAGCATGGACCCACACAGCGTTAGCATGGACCCACAGCTGTTAGCATGGACTCACAGATGTTAGCATGGACCCACAGCTGTTAGCATGGACTCACAGATATTCGCAACGACCCACAGCTGTTGGCATGGACCCAAATCTTTTAGCATGGACCCACATCTGTTAGCATGGTCTAATGGCTCATCAGCGTGAGCGCGGTGCAGATTGGCGGCTATGAACTGGCCCAGTAGGACACGCTCACGTGGACTATCACGCTCCAAATAGAGCGCATGCCGCCCGCTTAGGAGGCACAAGGTACCTCTGACAACAACACTCGAAGAGGTGCTCAAGTAAACATTTCTCCAGCGGGTCTTTACAAACAGTTGTATTGTATAACATTATAAAACTTTTTAAAAGGCTTCCTTCAGAAATATCAGGATGAAAAATACCAATAGTAAAGTTGTATTGACCAATTTATCCAAATGGTTCTATCCAGGTCTATAAGCCACTGATTAGCATTGCTGGAACTGGCAGAGTCACAGCTCCTGTGTTACCATATCTGCCAAGGCATCATCGCTGGCCTTTTACTCATCTATAAATATCAGCCTCCCCGTCGCTGCCCCCCGTCACCCTCTGCTCACACTCCAACCGCTTTATTTTCCCCACTGCTTCCCTTCTCTTCTGTTTCTGCGTGTTGTCCGGACGTCTCTGTCCTCCTTTCAATCTCAGGCCGTGAGATGTCTCACAGCCTCACATGTACAATGCTCGAATAGATGACTCATGGATCTGCACAAGTCCTTCTTATCTGGCAGAGCTCTGACAGGATTAATATAGAGGGGTGGGGAAGAGAAGCGGGGAAAGGTTCAACGCCATTTTCCTTATTTTGTTTGTAGTTTCTGTAATGAATAAACAAAAAAACTGGTAATAACAGGTTACTCTTCACTCACTGTGTATTTAAATGCATCTAACTGCCTTTGCTATCACACAAATCCATAAGCAGGAAATGATTGTGGTGATCAATGCGAGCCTTCCTAAGAGGGCAGGGGGCTGTTAACACTGTTTGACCGCAGCAAAGAACTGGCCTACGGGCTTCCACGCCGCCCGCGTGCCACGTTATTCATAGAGTAAACTGACATTAAGGGATAAGCGGCTAAAAAAGGCCGGTAAGTCTGCAGCAATGTGTCCGGGTGCTAAATAATTTAAAAGTCAGAGCATTGATATCGTAGCAAACAACCATTTAAGAAATGGCGGAGTGATGTCAACCTCCTCCCTCCATCTGTTGCTGTCCAACTTTCCCTGTGCTTTGTATACACAACAGGTCCGGCTGCACATGCATGTGAATGTGAACTGTGAGACAGATACTGTATATTTGTGTGGGTTTTTGGAATTGGTGGGATTGTCAATGAAGCTCAGTTGGATAATTAAAAACAAACTGTCATTGTGCGAAGGTGACAGGGAGACGAGCCCGGAAGGTGGAGGGAGGCGTGTTTTTTGTAAGTATGTCCCGTCAACGTGAGGTCAAAGGTTGTGTCCATGGCTACCGAATGAATGTCAACGACTTACTACCCTTCTACTAACCTTCTCTGTGATGGCCGTCAATGGGCCTGAGTGATCACTAATCCCCCCCCCCCGTCCCAACACGCTGCCCCGATGCGTCCCCCCGCGTGCTGTTGTTCATTCACATTATGTGCTGGATGGTTACAGGCTGGACGGAGCCGATGAACCAGAACGATGCTCCTGTTTTTCTAAATATCAGTCCGCTGATCTATAGGCGGAAAATAAAGACATTTAAGACTTTTGTGTAATGCATGCACATGCACTCATCGAACGGTAACAGCCAGTGCGTGAAATACCCTGGGGCATTCTGGGGGACATCACCGACACATCACCGCCCTGGCGTCCACGAAGCGCGGGGAGACGATGTCCAGGTTCTCGCCAAAGGCAAATCAAATTGATCCAAACCAGGAAACGTTTAGCGGCGCTTGTTTTCGTGCAACCTGTTGCACCTCTGACGGTCGGTGTCGTTTATGGCGGTAGAAATAGTCTCCCACGCTGACTTTTTGTGTTTGTAAATAACGGTTACGCGCCGTGTCACGCCATCGCCTTGTCAACCGGATGGTGTCGGACCCTCAGAGGCCGTCGCTGTATTTCTCACACTGATTACAGCTGATGACACAAACACGACATCATTATCGCCAATAATAGCATCCGTCCTCACATTCCCCCTCGAGTAAACGGCGTTAGCTACGTTAGCTCAGGTAGAAGCAATAGCTGCCATGTTGAGAGCCGTTGAAACGCATTTTTTTCTGACTGACTCACAACCTTCAGATGCATTCAAAATAATTAAGCCGGTGCGCAATACCTTTTGTAGCATCACCTTTACGTGTGTAATAAGATATTAAAGCCTGCTGGGGGGTCGTGTGTGTCGTCGTCTGGCTCAAGCTGAGTTTTATGTTGCTCCATATAGTCGAATGGATCGAGTCTAATTCCGAGCGTTCAACACAAACCAACTGTGAGAGCAGGAGAAAGTATTACACAATCGCTATTACATAAGCACTCAGCATGTAAATGAGTGTTATCGTTCCATCACATTTTACATTTAATCTGATTTAGATGTGCGTCACGACTAATCCTACGTGTGTGTGTGTGTGTGCGTGTTAGCAGGTAAGTAGGTGACTCGTCAGCAGGCAGCGGTGTTGCGATAGAATGAGGCTGAATGGAGGAGCAGTGAATCATTGGCTCTGTCCAGTCTGTGGCCTATTTACCAGCACACAACCCGCGTGCGTTTTATTACACCGAGTTCAGCTGGACGCTGGAGGCATTAATGCCCGCTGCCCCCAGAAGAATGCCCATCTCTTTTTTTCTCTACCAGGGCGAGGGAGGGCGGGGGCGCCCCCGTTTTATATGATTCTGCAGCGACAAACGGTGCAGAAGGTCATTTGGGGCAATTTTTGTGCTCGCGCGGCAGGAAAAGAACATTACGATTGGGCTCAAAATAAGTCACAAGTAAAAGATACAGAGTTTAACTACAGGCTAAACATGTACAGGTGTCAGACGCCAAGGAGGACTTAGCAAGTTATTTTAAGAGCCTGGGCCGTAGATGCACGGCACTTTTTACCTCGTCCACCGGCCCATAGACGTCCATTCGCATGTGTGTTTCCGTTGATTGTGGCAGTAAGTGAAATCTATCAAGGCCAAAATGCAGCTTTAATGAGGAGGAAGTAGCATTATTAGCTTAGCTTAGCTGATGCTCCCCTCTGCTCTGCAGTCCTCTGACACTTTTCACCTCTCTTTCCACTGTGTTTCAATGGGCCGTTTTTCTTCGTAACCGTTATCCATCGTGTTCTCTGTTTTTTTTTCTTCCTCTCAGCCAAAGCCAGAGAACGCCGTGACCGTGGCGGTCTCTTCTCGCGTCTTGTTTCGCACCGAGCTGGAGCAGAGGGTGTTTGAGCAGAAAGGCGTGGAGGAGTATCTGAGGTACCAGATCGAACACGAGAACGAACCCTTCGCCCCTGGACCCGCCTTCCCCTTTGTCAAGGTGAAAGGTCACGCGGACGCGCGCTCCACGGGCAGACCGCGCCGCGCCGCGTTCCCGGCTGACGCTCCGCTGTGTCCCGACAGGCCCTGGAGACGGTGAACGCTCGCCTGCGGGAGCTGTACCCTCAAAGCGAGGAGCTGTTCGACATCGTTCTGGTGACGTACAACCACGCCCACGTGGGGATCCGCCTCATCAACACCATCAACCATCACAGTGAGTCGTCCCGGGACAATAAGACATCAGATTGACATGTGAGAGAAAATGTAGTTGATGCCACATTTAAGGGGCCAAAGCTCATAAGAATCATCCTTCTTCTCCACGTGTGATTTGTTTGACCTGCCGCCGCGTTGGACGCTCCTGAGACGTTGCGATGATTGACAGTGTGAGACAGGATACAGGAGCTGATACAAGCCCAGCTGAGACTAACAAGCGTAACACCAGCTGATCCTTCCCAGGGACATCTCGGCCCTTGCGATGACGTCGCGCTCGCAGACCGCTTCCTGTCCGTCGCGAATGTGTTTTCATGTCCTCGCCGCGTCGGGGGGGCTGGGGGTGCGTTCACTGTCCTTCGGGGATGCGAAAACCCATCCGAGAGGCCCCCAAACGAAAACAGGTCTGAGCGGATCCACCAAAGCTGCACGCTGCCCCCCCAGATGCTTCCTCGTTGGATCTCGCCGGCGGCTCTCTGCGTGAGGGGGCCTCACCAGCGTGACCCCTGACCTTTCCTGCAGCCTCTGCGATGTCACGGGGGATGAGAGTTTGTTTGAACGCGCTGTGTCTCGGCGTGACGGTCAAACGAATGATTTCTCAGCTTCTCACATTGGAAACTGAATGTGGGAACTTCGGAGAAACATTCAAACGCAGATTCATCACTCGTCCCCTGCTTGCTATTTTTAACGGTCGCAGGATGCGGTGTAACGTTCCCCTCCGTGCATTTCAACGAGTCTACGGGCTCGTTAGTCCACGGCTGTGAACGACGAAGGCCTGCAGGCCACGAACATCTAACACAGCCGTGATTAAAATGCCCACTGTTTGATTAGAAGTAGTGTTTGTGATTCCTCAGTGCCGCCGTTGTAAAGTTGCAAGAAACGTAAAGGTAAAGCTGAGCTGCAGCAGAGCGCGGACTGGGAACATCACAAAGGATGCTGGGAAGACACCCCGGGGGGTCCTCGCGGCCCCCTTTGACCTCTGCGCAGCCGCCTCTTGTCACCTATATCACTGACGCTCGGTTTCTGGGTACCTGTGATGCTCTGGGGGGGTTTTCTGTACCGACCTCTGAACAAAGCATCATCACATGTTCGCGGCCAGGAGGCTTTTTTTCTCGTGCTGCTCATGTTAAAGTTGTAACTGTGACCTTTTGAGTGGGAAAACCACCAAACGAGACGTGCGAGTTGAGGCGTGTGATGGTGGTGTCAGTGTACACAACGTCACCGAGATGACCGGCATGTGCCGTAATGTGCAAGCAAGCGGAGATTTCGCGAGGTTGACTCGGACGTTCCCGAGGGAAATCAAACGTTGGGACGGGGACATGCAGCCGAGTGCTGTGACTGTAAAATGTCAAACTGCTCCACAAAGCGGCTCATTGTTTGATGTCTTTCTGCATTCCTGCTTTTATATTTTCCATGTTTTTGATCTTTTGAACAAGCAAATAAATCAGATAGATGATATGAAGAGAGTTTAGCAGCGGGGGGGGGGGGAAACGGAAAGATACAAAGACATCAATGGCGAGTTCCTCTGTGGGACTCCCACGCTCCCCGTGTCTTAAAGCGAGGGGGACGCTTGGGAGGTTTGAGATGACGCGGCGCAGTGAAGTTTGGGGGCCAAACTCAACACGGCCGGACTACAAAGCTAAATAAACCACTTGGCAAATCTGTGGAGGACAGTTGGACCTTTGAATTCTTTTCCTGCTCCATCTCCACGTCCCTGTTGGTGCGTCGTATCGTATTCGCCTGTGTTCATATTCACAAGCTCTTTTAAAGCTGCACTACATAACTTTGCACTTTTGCTAATTGGGTTTGAGATCAAAAACATGATAATCCAAAATCATTTAAGACAGAGAGACAGAGTCGAGTGCTGATGACTCAACCAACAGCCCGGATTCGTGATTAAATCACACGACAATAAGGGAAAATGTTACTACGATGAAGCTTTCAGTGATCTGCACCTTTTCCATGTCTGCTGATCCACATGCGAAGTCAAAAGAGAAAGTTGTTTGTATGAAAACGTCCCAGTCGCGTTACAGTCCCTGTTGAAAGGTTTGACCCAAGCATGAGAACCAAAAGGACACCGGGAAGGAAAAGAGACGGGACGCACGGAGGGTGAAAGCTGACAAAGAGACGCGACACAAAGAACACAACAAACCGACTGCACGCAGGTGGGACAACTGGACGATCCAGAGGGAGGGAGATGAAATAGGAGACAAGGAGCGGCGAGTGGAGTGAATACTTTCACAATTCCTGCCCAGCCTGTTTATTTATACCAGCAGAACATCCTCCGCTTTAGCATTTTCACAAAGAGCCCCGGCCTCCGCGCCTCTTTGTGCTCTTTCATCTGCAAACCCAAAGCGGCGCTTCACAAGCCGGCACCCGGCCGCCGGAGTCCGTGACCTCACGCAACTGCTCGCCGATGAATTATATATGAAAATAAATTAAGCTTTGGTGTGGAACCGCGGCTTGGACACGGCACGTGTTTGCAAACTGCGCCTGTGGAAAATTGTAAAACACGAGAGAGACGCTGAGGATCCAGCGCGTGCTGGTGTGTGTGTGTGTGTGTGTGTGTGTGTGTGTGTGTGTGTGTGAGTGTGTGAGTCTGCTGCATCGACAATATTTTGGTCAATTTGTCTCAAACGAGCCCCTCATCTTTCAAGCTTCTAGCAGACTGACGCTATTAATAAGAAACTTTAACCTTGCCGCATCAATCGCCCCCCAGCGCACTAACCTTCTCTTTGACTACATCTCCATCCATCACAGGTGTCCCCTAGTCTCACTCTGTACACCCTTCAAGTCCACAAACTCCTTTAATCACACAACGGCATTGTCTCCTCCCCCCCCCCCCCCCCCCAGCAGCCAATGAGAAGCCTCATTCCACTCTTCTAGTCCTTCGTTTTTCCTCTCCTCATATTAAGTGCCCCCCCCCCCCCCCCCCACCTACTGAGACATCCTCCTGCTCCCAGCAGAGAAGGAGGATGTCTCTGTTGTTGTTTCCGTTGCTTTGTTTGTGTCTCGGATGGTTTGGACAAATGGAGGCGGACCTCCGGTGACGGGCCCGCCCCTCTGAACCCGCCCCTCTGAACCCCCACGTCCACGTGGCGCTGCTCTTCTCTGCAGACCTGTTCATCGAGCGGTTCTGCATGACGGGGGGAAGCAGTCCCATTGGCTACCTGAAGGCCTGGCAAACCAACCTCTACCTGTCCGCTGACGCCGACAAGGTCCGGGAGGCGCTGGCTGAAGGTGAGGCCCCCTCTCCCCCCCCTCATCCCTCCCCTCATCCCTCCCCCCCTCCACCATACACACACACACACACACACACACACAGATGAACCGGCGTGATGATTTGTGTTCCTCGATGGATTCCCGCGTGTCATCATCTGAATACACGTAGATGTTTTAAACCCCAGATGTTACCGGGCAGACGGGGCGCATTGGTTGGAGCAGAACATTTCATGCTCATTGTTACTGCTGTACAAAAGGTAAAGAGCAGATAGTGAAATAGAACGCTGCAAAAAAGAACTTCAGACCAAAGGGAAACCAGACTTCTTGATTTTCTAGTAATTAGGAACCAGAAAAATCAGTTATCTGTTCACTTGGAGGCTTTTTGTCTCACATATTGTTAATTATGTGAAGTTAAGTTAAGGGACATGAAAGGTTTCACGTTACAAAGGAATGTTTCTGTTTCAAATTGTGATCCAACAATCTGTCAGTCGCATGAAGTGAAGTCTATATTTGGGATTATTTAAAGATTAGTGAAATAAAGTGAACGTGTCCGTCCACTTATTATCTAACCACCATGTGACGGTCTGCAGGATAGAAGCTCTCTAGAGACTGATGTCTGTGTTCATGTTCAGGCATCGCAGCAGCCACCATGTTTATGACGGAGAAGCTGACGGAGGTGTCGGAGTCCCAGCTCAGGGTGGCCTTCGACGGAGACGCCGTCCTCTTCTCCGACGAGTCGGAGCGCATCTTCAAGGCTCACGGGCTGGACAAGTTCTTCCAACACGAGCAGGACAACGAGGACACGCTACTAGATCACGTAAGTGTTCTAGTGGGTTAAAAGTATTTCATGCTTGTTTATGTAATCAGTACATGTTGGCTTCCACTGCTCCTTCGTGACGATCATCTCCTCCGGCACGGCAGGGCCCCCTGAAGGGCTTCCTGGAAGCTCTGGGGAAGCTCCAGAAGAAGTTTTACGCCAAAGGCCAGCGCCTGGACTGTCCCATCCGAACGTACCTGGTCACGGCTCGCAGCGCGGCCAGCTCCGGGATCCGGGCGCTGAAGACGCTCAGGGCCTGGGGCCTGGAGATCGACGAGGCCCTGTTCCTGGCGGGGGCGCCCAAGGGCCCCATGCTGGAGAAGATCCGGCCCCACATCTACTTCGACGATCAGATGTTTCACGTGGAGGGCGCGGCCGAGATGGGCACCGTCGCCGCCCACGTGCCCTACGGCGTGGCGCAGAAACACAACCAGCCGCAGAAACCCGGCGCCAGGAAGTAGAGGGCGGGACCTCAGGCACTCAGATGCCCCTCCTCCCCCCCTCCCTCCTCAGGGGAGCGAGGAACATCACAACGGCCAAATGGAGCTGAGAGGCGTCAGAGGGCATGCGAGGAAGAACTCGCACTGAGTTGAATGTGGCGACGTTTGTTCACGGGGGGAAGCGGGTCGGCTCCACCTTCACGCTGGCAGGTGTCAGATGAAGGATGGCCACGGTCTTACATTTCAAACCCAAAGCTTAAGTGTTTTGTCAAATCTTGGTGGATTTTCGAAGGTGCTCGGTGATCTTCTCCAGCGTGTCACCAACAAATGAGCCGAAAGCACAATGCGGATCTTTTAGAAGGTTGAAGGTTAAAAGTTAAACGGACAAAGAGATGAAAATCTCTCAATATGTGATGCGTTTTTTCTCTAAGAAAACAAAACACCTGCGCTTTAAATGCATCATCAGGAAAGTCACGAGGTGAAGTGTCAGTGATTCCGCACAACGTGTTGTGTGTTACTGGAGATAGAAAAGCCGTACGTTTCAGTCGGGGCCTTCGTTTCAGTGAAGACGCCGTTCTCAGCCCGTCGGGTGGATCGATAAAAGTTCAGCACAGACGTTTATAGACTTTTGTCACACTTGTAAAAAAAATGGGAGTCCTGCAACACAGTTGAGGGAAGAAGAGCGCTGAAATCTAGAGATACTCAAAGCAGTAGCATGCAAAAGCGAGATGTCTACAATGAAGTACATAATAAAGTGTTATTTTTTATTTACAACATCGCGGCTCGGGCTACATTTTGCACCACGCGAGACTAAGCAAAGTTGTATCGGTGCTTCAGCCTTCCGGTGTGTATAACAAGCAGACGCTCTTATTGCCGCAGGGTGATATTTCTGGCATCAGCAGCGAGGGCCTCAACCGGCAGCCGTCTTCACGCCGCCGCCCTCTGCTGTCGCGCCTCTGCTCAGCCGCCATCGAAACGCTTCCACCGATAAAACTGCATCCGACCTTCAGTTTTGACCTTTTGATATTCGTCTTTCGCTGACGAAACGGCCTCTTGGTAAATGAACCCACGTCACGTCACTGTGACCAGCGATCAGCCAATTTAACTTCACGTTGAAGAGATGTGGAGTCTTTGGGCAGAATGAGGTCCGTTTGGACTTTATATTCAGAAATAAATTAATGAAGATCCCACAAAAGAAAGATAAATAACAAGTCCATCAACACTAATGTAGTGTCTTGCTTTACACGGATTGTGCACTTCTTCACTCTACCATTGAGTGGCAGCACTTGAATGATAAATGACCTTCTGCAGCTGCATTCACATGTTTTTATTTAGGTATTAGTGTTGGGAAATCCTCCCATGTTATAAACGTTGTCTAGAAACAAATAAATTAAATATTTTCCTCTTCACGTCTTCTTTGTTTCCTTTCTCTGGGCTCAAAATCTCACTCTTAACTTGCCAAACCTTCTCAAAAGGCAGCATCATATCTCCACCCCCACGACCCCTCCCTCATTCGCAGTGATGGAGATGTTAATGTTCCCGATCATGCCGAACTTAATGGCCTCCTCCCCGAAGGCGCCGAGACATCCAGCGCCGGTCCACCTGGAGCCGGCCCGCAGAGACCGCGTGATGGATGCGCGTCCTCGTGGATTTGATAAGCTCACACAGCGGCGAGCGAGCGAGGCCGGAAAGATACGACGTGAGCAGCTGCCAAGCCCCCAGATGTTAATGACACACACACGCACACGCAGGCGGCATCTATACAGAGACAGTAACCATCAGTCTGAATGGAGGGTGTTGTAAGAAGATGGCTTCAATACGGCGGATTGAGGCCACGACCCTCCAGCATCCCGGCCGCTCGGTAAATGCTGGAAGGTGTTCAGGCGAAGAGGAGAGGAGAAAATGAATTGCGGATCCGTGGATGTATTTTCCATCCAGGCGTCACACCTTGTGTTCCTCTGCCAGGCATCGATCACAAGACCCTCATGAGAGGAGTCGTACAGGTGGATGGAAGGGAAAGTTATTCCTTCCTCTGACTACAATTGATTAGATTTTACTTCATTATCCTAGGGAATGAAAAAAAGCAAAAAGGCCGATGTGAAGAGCTTAGTTTTTCCTTCTGCCCGTTCACAAAGCAGAGCGGAGGGAAACGAAGGGATCAGCCAGCAACACTTCTTTTAAAAGACGCTTTTCTTAATAACCTCGCCCGTGCACGTTAGGCTCAAAACAAACCGCTGTGGTTTATTAGTGTTTTTCAGTGTTTTCTGTATATTTTTTGCTCTATCAGCCCCTCCTGAATTTGAATGCTGTGCCATGAAGATGTAGCTCTGACAGAAGCATCGTGTGCGCGTCGTCTCACAGAGGCCCTTTGGTCTCATTCAAACTGCTAAAGCAGTGAAGAATGAAAAATGAAAAAAAAGCTGCAATTCCAATTAAGTTCAGCCTCATTAATGTCTATTGATCTCACTGCTGGAGATGATTCTGCAATAAGGAGACAATACACAGTAGGTTACTTTCACGCCTGAGACACATAAAAACATCACAAGCAGGATCTTTGAAGGCCGGATTCTTCGCTGGTATTTGGTTCAAGTCCAACGTGGTTCACAGACCCCAGAGAGCTTCTCTCCTACATTGTGAACCACCGGGTACCAAACCAACACGATGCTAATCTCTGTCTCAGTCTGACTTTTTCACGTCGCCACTGCTGCCCGCCGGCTCCAAACGACGACCTCAGACAAGCGAGAAAAGCTTCAGTTCGTTTGAAAATAACAGAAGTATTTCTGCCCAATTTCACCGGATTAGTGGAATCTCCCTTAAATCTCCGTATACGTTTTTTGTCTTTTACATAGTTTCTTCCGGACTCAGGCCCCCGTGTCGGTATCCATGGCAACAGAATAAGGCTGTCCCTCGAGAGAGATAAGAGGAGAGATGGGTACACGGAATGTGTGTCTGTGTGTTTATAAGGTAATAAACCAAGGAATGGCCTTTACAAAATCTATTTAGCCACCAATACAACTGTGTTTCCATGGTTACCTTATCCAGGATGTTGAAAGGCGGAAAGGGAGCCAAAGGAGGGAAACAATGATAAGAGTGAGTACATTGAGGGGAAAGAAATAAAGACGGGAAAATGGTGGGAGAGCCTGGAAACAGAAAACTACGAGGAAAAGACAGCGGACAGGAAATCAAAGGGAAGAAATAAGCCGTGTTTTTAATAGGATTATAAATCAAAGTTCCTACAGGACCGACCACAAAAACAGCTGCATACTGAGTCGCCTGAAAGCGGGATGTTGCTAAAATCAAATAATTGTTTTTCCAAAAATCGCAAGCTCTAAAAAAGAGGTTAAATTGACTTTAATGAATAGTGTCAGTGTAATTATTAAGAGCAGATGGCATGAAAACAAACCCTCTCAGGCACATTGATTAACTGCTATTCACCGTTCATCTCTTGTGGCACAATTAAAAAGAGGAATTAAAGTAGCATGATTTGTATCTCCTGATTATTATTGTTTTATGTCCCAAATGCATGATGTATGCTTTGTGCTTTGGAGAATGACGAAAAAACAATTGTTCCTCTGATCAGTGTGTTTATTCTGAGTGCGGCTGAATCTCAGAGGAGAAAAGAGCCCTTTGCATTCGATGCGTCACAACTGTGATTATGTTTTAAATGTGAAGCGCTGGAGTCACACACCAAAAAAAAGGGCAAAAGAACACGCCGGCCTCAGGAGGAACGAAGCATGAACTCCACTCTGAGGCGCCGCGCTCATGGCTGAAATGATGGAGACCACTCAGGATGTTCCTCTGTCACGATTTTGCACTCATAATAAACTGATCTGAATATTTGTAACTACAGTGTTGGTGTTGAGCAGCATCACCGCTCTGATGCGTGGTCGCCGTGATCACCGATCAGAGAGACGCTGATGCCCTCAACGTGCACAGATTAGAGCTCTCTGCATGTGCGTTGGTGTGTGTGAGCACACAATAGCGCCGGATGTTTCTCTGAGCTTTTGTTTGGGTGTGTGTTGCGGATCTTGTGTGTGTGTGTGTGTGTGTGTGTGTGTGGTCTGACAATTAGGGAGGAGACTGACAGAATGGATTTCCTGTCGGAGCAATAAGAAGACACAGTCCCTCAGTGCACAAAAAGACACTTAACACACACATTTGTTTTTCGCTGTCCTTGTGAGGACCGATGCTGAGCTGAGAAGTGGACAAAAGCTCAAACAAATTTCTTCATGCAGAGCAAATATTCCAAATAAACAAACTGTTAAAATGCAACTCCTGGCGTCCTGTTTGCTCCTCACTGAGGATCCGGTCACACGAGGGAACTAAAACAAGACCGCGAGGGAAAAGATGATGTCGCACACACAGAAGAATCCAACGCGAGGCCTCTTCACCACCTGTATCCATCAAACGATGGATACACACACGCACACGGACACGCACAGAAGAGAAAACTCCCCGTCGGTCTCTGAATGAGAACGTCAACAGCGGCTGCGTTGCCTGGCAACGCTGCGTAATGGTGGCGTGTGAGGACGGCGGGCTTCCTCCGGTGCTTCAGCCTGTGTGGACGGTGGCTGTTTTTTCAGTGGTGCCTTTTGATAATAATTAATTATTAATAACGTTTTATACATTTTGCCCATCAACATTTAATTCATTTACCATCACTTCTTCATCTGTTTCATGTCATTGGGAAATATAGTAAAGTAAAATATCCCAAACAAACCAAAATTGCATTATTAAAATACCAAATCATACAGCAGCATCCTCACACCACACTTACTCTTTGAAAGATGTTTAATTTGAACAACAGCGTAATGACACAGTTGTATTATATCGTAATAGACGAGCTTCTTTGTCCTTATAGAACAATTCTTTTAATTCAGATTTCATAAATCTGCTGGGAGATAAAACAAAGTGAGGAGGATGTAAATCGTTCATTTACATCCTCCAGGTCCTCCTCACTCCTCCACTGCCACGATGCGTCTTCTCTGTCCCGGAGGTCCACCAGGCAGTACGGGACCTACACACACACACACACTAACACACACACACACACACACACAGCGGATGGGCCGACAATGAGAGGATTCGCTGCATCGGACAAACGCCGTCACTCTCTGCGCTAGTGAGGTCAGCGCGGTGACCCCCCCGCTGTGCTTGTAGAGCAGATGGTCGGTGTGTGTGCTGCTTCTTAGTCGCGTGTGGACGCGTTTTCGTTCTGCAGCTCCACGCAAACCCTCAGTCCGTGTAAATTGGGGCCTTTTTTAATTTACTGTAAGCAAATTGCACAATTAGAAGCTTCACTCGGCTTGACTGAGCCCCGACAGACGCTGTCATGCGTTGCCTTTATGGTCCAAACCGTGCACAAAGAAAGCTGACACATGGTGTTGCTGCGCACACAAGTTGGTTTTGAGCCTCTATTATTGAACACCTTCCAGTGTCAATAATGCAGCGCATCCCGCCTGTGTGGGTGGAACACGCATGTAAGCACACCTTGAGACAGTCGAGACGCGTCGACCAGCAGCGCGTTCATGGCGATCGCTCCGATGCTCCTGGAGTTTGATACTCCTCAACGCCGAAGGCCCGCGTGTCATGACGTGTGCGTTCCACGCCAAACCCGCCTGGCGACAGCCCGAGCTCGTGCCGCCTCTGACGGCCTGTGGGAACCATGCCTCTCCGAGGCCGGAGTGCCGCTCTCAGGCCGCAGCGGCGTCCGCTGTCAGTACTTCAAATCTCTGTTCCAGAACACTCGGGTTCGACCTTTCGAAAACGTGGCGGCAGCGCCATGTGAGCCTGGAATGGAACGGAATGGATTCAGATCCTGTGAAACTACGTCACTTTGCCGACGTGTGCAGATGGTGTGAACACGAAGCGCGCGCGGCGTGGATGTTGAAACGCTGTTTGGCCTCTGCTGATAAATCAATGATGACTGCGTGCCTTCGTCCCCGCCCTCCCCGGCAGCACAGCGCTTCCCCGCCGCAGCTTCTATATTTAGATGCAGGACCCAGAATACAGTAGCGGAGTAATCAGCCCCGTCCTGTGTGAGCGATGAGCTGCTGGCGGCCGGCCTCCTTTCAGAATCGACAGACAATTAGTCGCACACGAGCAGGAACGCAGGCGCGGGCCCACGGAGACGTGGACGTCATGCCTTCGCCAGCCCAACCGTCGCAAGTAAACGGCTAACTTTAGCCTTTAGCCTAAGCTCCTGCAGTATGAGCCCTCAAACAGGCCTTTAAAAAAGCCCCAAATGACCTCACGTTTATTCCCACAATCCTCTCAGGCCTCGTTTGTCAAAATAAAGTCTGTATAATTAAGGGGAAAGAATTAAATCCAAAATGAAATAAACATGAAACAAACACGAAACAAATCCTATAAAAAATAATAGTAATAATAACTCTAATAACAAAAATGTATGTATTTGTATATTATATTATAATATAATAATTTTTTTTTTTTTCAGACACTGAAAATGTTCTTTTTCATATTAGACACACTTGTTTTTATTCACAATCACAGGAGTGAACACAATCTCGCATGGGGCTTCTGCTATCGGAGCACAGAAACACTGTGGGGGGAGGTCAAACCGACAGTCATCTCCTGTTTGTTCTGACTCACACAGACAGTTAGCCTCCCCCCCCCCCCCCCCCCTCCTTCCCCTCCGCCTTCCCCACCCCCTCCACCTCCTCCGCCTCCTCCTGTCCTTCCCTCTCAAGGACCCAGTCCCAAACCCCACCAGGAGGCCTGAACACTTATGTGCAAGTGATCATGTGAAACGTATTATTATATAATATATATTATTATTATTAATATATATTATTATTATTATTAATATATTATTATTGTTATTGTATACATTATTATATAATATATATTATTATTATTAATATATTATTATTATGTATATTATTATGATTCTAAACTTGAGTGCAGTGTTTACTGAGGTAACAAATCCAGCAACCAGTGTGTCGCCCCCTGCTGGTCATTAGAGAGATTGCAGGTTTGAGGCAGCTCTGCATGGCGGAAGGGGACGACCCATCGTGACGTCACACATTTCTTTAAAAAAGACGAAGAGGAGCCACTCCGGTAATTACGCGTATGACTTGTCGGTCTGTAGATTCATTGATAACTATGCGCATTGATTTTCCGCGTGTTAACCGTTGTTTGCTCTCTAATAAGGCTCCTCCCCACATGTCCGGAGGTTCGATATCAGACCAATCATGTGTCGCGTCGCATTCTTCACGCGAGAAAGTTCCAGCTAATTAAGGCGCCGAGAGAACAAATTGGAAACGTTTGACCTCCTCCGGCTTAAAAATAAGTCCCACCCAAAGGACGGTTGCCAGAAGCGCACAAGGGGACGTCCCCATTTCCAGCGCACGCATGTGTGCGCATGTGATAATTACCGCAGTGCAGAGGCTAATTGGGCCAATGCGTGTGAACTTATTAGAACGTCTCCCTGCTGGTATCCGTTTCTAATCTGGGGCTCATCTGTTGGAAGCGGAGGTGTCCTCCTGGGGGGCGAGGCAGAGGAACTGTTCTCAGGTAACATCCAGAGGTGCGGAGACGTCTGTGACGGCTGAACTTCCTCTTTCTGTTCCAGGCGCCTCACACAGAAAAAAAAAAATGTCAAAACTTTGTTAGATGTTTAACTGTTTACGGGAAACACATGAAAAAGGCCACTGGCGCCTACGGGGGCCGAAGGGGCCTGAATCAAGGATGATTATTGACTTCTGGCAAAGACTCAGATGCTCTGGTTCTTCTCCAATCGCTTACTGTGTGTGTGTGTGTGTGTGTGTGTGTGTGTGTGTGTGTGTGTGTGTGTGTGTGTCTAAGCCGTTCATCGGAGGATGCCTTCTACTCCATGAACCCAATGAGAAGGAAGCAATCAGCTAAAGGGCGAAACAACCTTCCGCACAACAACAATGCAACACGGGCCGGCTGTGACCTTCAGCCATTGTGTGTGTGTGTGTGTGTGTGCGTGCATTTGTGTGTAGGCTACTTGAGGCCATATCATGCAAACAATAGATACACAAAATAGGACCATCAGCCAAACATCCAGAGCGTTGTTTTTTTTTCTTTATGAAAGTCATTATTCATTCGGAGAATAAGTCGAACCATGTGGGTGAAAATCCAATTTACCAGAATGGGAAAGAAGGTGGAAAAAGACAAAAGGGGGACTGTAGATAATTGGGGGGAGAGAGCGAAAGCCAAAGGGTGAGAGGGAGACACAAAACAGGCGAGGTGAGAGAGGAAACAGGGGGGTAACAGAGTTATCTGTGACAGGGGGAGAAAAGGACGATGACGATGATGAGATGAAGAAAAAGGAGAAGAAAGGAGCACCCAGCGGCTGGGCAGGAGAGGCAGGAGAGGAGAGGCAGGGGAGGCAGGAGAGGCAGGAGAGGAGAGGCAGGGGAGGCAGGAGAGGCAGGAGAGGCAGGGGAGGCAGGGGAGGCAGGAGAGGCAGGAGAGGCAGGAGAGGAGAGGCAGGGGAGGCAGGGGAGGCAGGGGAGGTAGGGGAGGCAGGAGAGGCAGGGGAGGCAGGTGAGGCAGGAGATGCAGGAGAGGCAGGAGAGGCAGGGGAGGTAGGGGGGGCAGGAGAGGCAGGGGAGGCAGGAGAGGCAGGAGAGGCAGGAGAGGAGAGGCAGGAGAGGCAGGGGAGGCAGGGGAGGCAGGAGAGGAGAGGCAGGAGAGGGGAGGCAGGGGAGGCAGGACAGCGGATGTCTTTTCCCATTGATACGGATCCGTGAAGATGGAGCAGAAAAGGTGAGATGAAAAAACAACTTACAGGGCTAGAAGACAAACGCAGAGGTTTAAACATAAAGTTTACAGTCAAAGCAGCAAAATGCAGTCTGACGGGAGGCAGAGGCCCCTCAGCCAGACGTGAGGAGAGTAAATAATTGAGGCGGTAAACGAAAGGATCAGGGAGCAGATCGGCAGGTGTTCCTCCTCTTCTGTGATCCCTCCTTCCCTCAGTGGGAAGCTGAGCGGAGGAATCAGAGGATGACTCATCCACCTCGGCCCACTTCCTCCTCGTACCTCTCCTAAAAAACAATTGCACCGTGGAGGAAGTGAAATTCCGCAGCGAGGCATCCAGACGCCGCGTGTGTTTAACTGACGCTGCGAGGGAGCGCGGCCCGGAGTATATTTGCATCCTTCCCGGTGCCACTCGGGAGCGCGCCGAGGCAAAGGGTGCATTACTGCCCATCTATAATTGATGTGTCACGTTCCCCCCACCGTGTAAAGGGACACTCCGGACCCTCCAGATTGAATCAAATGGCATGCGCTTGCTATCGGCGGTCTTTATCTACACATTGCAACGCCCTCTGGGGCAAACTGTGACGCTAGAAGTGAAAGAAGGTTCCCACAACCCTGCAAATGCATAAACCTCGATGTATTTTATTTGGCTTTAAAATGCATCAGCACCTGAGGACCATAAACCGCTTTGCAGATATACACATAGTATATATTGCACATATACACCAAAATATTCCAATATACTTTTACTTTTATTGGATTACTGCGTTAAGAAATGTAAAAAGATCTGACTTTCATTGTCATATTTGAGTCTTTTTATAGGTTTATTGGTTGATTGAAAAGCCTGGGAAACGTTTAAACTAACTAAAATATTTACCTTGTAGTCTGGAAGGTGAGTTTTAGTGTATCCACCCAAATCCATGCTGTTAAGATATTATAACATGTACAATACACATAATAAGGTGAGTAAAGATGGAAAGTCTTTAGAGGGACTTTGATCAAGTACAACATTTGAATGTTTGCTGTTGTTCACGCGCACACTCATTGTGTCAGGAGCGTGTGGGTGAGTGCGCACGTTGCCAAGGCAACAGACAACCGCATCCGCCCAGCGACACGCGCCTCCCAAACCAGCAAAACACGCACGCGCACGCTGGCATCACTCGGGCGTCTGGTGTGTGATCAACTGTCGGCGACGGTGCTCGTTAGTTCTATTGTGGGGAAACAGCTGGACGAGCCGCCGTCACAGCTTTCAATCGCAACGCGCACATTTAAGAAAGGAGACGGCGTGTGTGGTGTATGATACGTCGTGGTCGTTTTCAACGCGCTGCGCGAACAATGCGAGGCTTCACCTGAATGTTTCACACGATCCACGTGTTCTTGAAACCATCAAAAACAAATGACGTAAAGCGTTGGACATCATGATGTGAGCCCGTCTTCCCCTTTTCGTTCCCCAGGTGTGTCGGCCTTCTCGCTGGCCTCGCTTTGTCTCGTTAATCAGCCTCTCTGGTGTTGTGGGCTTCATCACTTCGGCATCAGAAGGTCACCCGGCTTCCCCTCGGCGGCCTCTGCTTCAGACGTCGTCGCCTCCAGCTGCCGAGTCTTTTTCAAGGCTGAGAAGAGAAACCTTGAGAAGATTAAAACCATGTTGATCCATTTCTGTGCTGTGGACTTTTTCCTTCTTTTGCATTAAACCAAGCGTTTATGTGCTCGTAGCGAAAATGAACACTTTTCGTGCACCCGCCTTCGTTTGAAGGGCGACACTCTGCATCTGGGCACCAAACGCTCTGCTTCGTTAGCGGAACGCACAAAGAAATGCGTTCACCTTGGTCTCCAGAAGACCTTGGACCATCTGCCAATTTCATGATTGGGTTACGGTGCGCCGACCGGAGAGCCATCTCCTGCAGAGTGGCTCCTGAAGGAGGGAAACGGTCTCATTCGGCGCGGCCCGTTTTCCTCCTCCTCCTCCTCCTCCTCCTCCTCCTCCTCCTCCAGGGAGAACTCCGGTTCCTTGACGCGAGGTATTCCACGCTGGTCGGCTGGAAGACAAATGTCGAGGACAAATGTCTCGTGTGCGTAGCCGAGACGCTCTTCAAGGACGGCCGTTCATCATGGTCACGGGGGCCCAGCAGAAGTCCTGCAGCGCTGATCTCACAGGTGAGAACATCCTCTCCTCGAAGGGGGGAGGGGGATTAAGTGGGAGCATCACAGCGGGCCGCCGGGTGCGTTTAAGCCGTCTCCGTCTGGCTGGAGTGTTTAAGCCAGTGGAGTAATGCACCACTGAGACTGGGAATCAGTGAGACATTACCAGAGAGAGTTTATGTGTGTGTCATGGTGGTGAAATGTGATGGAGGGACGTACAACAGGCGAGGTTTACATTTCCTGTCAATGCATCACCTCCCTATATGCAATTGCAAGAGTTAACACACATATATTTTCATATGTGCTCAATAAATAATGAACAGGTGAGTTTAAGGCTTTCGTTCATCTCACATGCTTTTCATCAGCAGATGCAGTTTGCGTGTTGTCGTGATTTTCTGACTCTTTAGCACCATGTATGTTTCCACCACCGAAGACCCTTCGTGCTCATGATTCTCGTTTTAAATCAATCTTCTTTTTAATCTAATAGCACAACACAGTGCATTCATACATCAATCCGTCTGAAGCGGGTCACGCGTGACCCCGACGTGCACTCCGTGTAGTTTTGCGACATGTGGGTTTGTGTGCGTCTCTCCTCTTTTGAAACGATATCTGCTGTTCGTCGAGCTCCCCTGCAGAGCGCGAGTCACTGCTGGATACGCCGCTGAGGTTCAGGTCCAACGCGGCCGCCATTGTCTGCCCTGAAAAGGCAAATATCCGGTTACACGTCCAGCTCGTTCACTGGGTTTCCACGTGTCATGGAGCTCGGGTCAAACAAAGCAATGGAAAATGCTCTGAATGGTTGAATAAACGACGAACAAACTACAGTTATTAGTTCATTTCCTGTGGCCGTTGTATCGCAGCAGTAAAAACAAACCTGTATCCTAGCAACACGACGGCTGGGATGCAAACCATACGCTGAATGCTGGACCTCAACAATCAGCCTTCGAGGGCTTTGAGAACACGCTCGAGCACACGATGTCATTTAGACCTTCCTGATTTGTCTTCTCCTCCTCAAGGCAGCTTCAGGTGCTTTAGATGAGAGTCGTACGAAGCAGAATTTTTCCACGTCCGTTAAATTCCGTCCTCCGCCAGAGAAAACATCCACCGGCTGTTTTGATGTGGCGCAGTGAGCAGCGGGCAGCTCTGTTGGGTTTAAACACGTTGGCATCAACAACAACTCACCCTAAAAAAAATTCAAATACAGTGAAAACACATTTTTTTACATCAAAAACCTAAATGTTGCTTCGTCAAAAGATGTTTGTCAATGATCACAGTGAATGATCTTTTACTACAATCTTTAAACAAACACACCGGGCTCATTTTCTATTATACATCAACCCCAACATCTCATTACTAAAAGAAACAAGTACAATATCGAAGGTTTCCTCCCACAGATGTTGCTGTTTACTTGTGAATTCCTGTATTTAAACGCCCGTGAGAACCTCGGAGGTGAAGGACATCGAGAACCTCAGGAAACCAAAACACTCGACCACCAGCGGATGACGAAATGTCCTCATTGAGAGGATCCGGCCGCTTCATCCAGAGGTGGAAGCGTTGGCGGCGCCGCTGGGCTCTGGGGGAGTGGAGCGCCATCGTGCGCGCCGGCCTTTCTGGTCCTTCTAGAATGCTGGAATGAAGGTGGTCTTTCTGGGCCGCCGTGTGTCCCACAGTGGCCGTCCCGCCCGGGGGAGGAGGAGGAGGACGCCGCCACGCGACCGCTGCGCTGTTACGCAAGACCGGAGAAAGTGCAACAGCAGCGTTGAACCCGCGTGCTCGGAGGAGGGAAAGTGCCAACAGTACACAAAACGCCCGGAGAGACAGAGAGGGGGGGTGAGGGGGTGAGGGGGGGTGGGGGGGGGGTAATCCAATCACATCAGCGTCCTCATTCACAGGACAGAGAGACAGTTATGAACAACTAATGAAATAAGCAAGAAGCTGAGTCAGATATTTGTCCCTGTCTCACCTTCGGTGATACAACAGAGGGGTGAGACGAGTCGGGGGGGAGGGGAGGGGGGAGGGGGGGTGGTGGTGGTGGAGGTGGAGGTGTGTGGGTGGAGAGCACACCACGAAAAACGAAGCAGGACACCATGTTCCTCCGCTACAGTAACTCCTCCACTCCTTTCGGGTCGCAAGGTCACGGAAATAGAAGACGAGAGGAACTCTCGCATAGCAGCTTCCCATCCGCTCGGATCCCTGCGAGCTGAAGAGAGCACGCGTGACCACGCACACGCACACGCGCCCCGGCAGGCCTCGCTCACGCAACTCTCCAAGCACCAATCATGCACACTTCCATGGACTTTGTGGAGCTAAACTTGGCCCGAACGTCGGAAATGAGAGCAGCAAAACTGTGCCAGAGCGCGGCGCAGCGTCCACGCTCCTCCGTATGGTGCACATGAAACCAATCCAAGCAGAATCAGGCGGTGTGCGTGCTTTGACCTCCTCGCCGAAGATCTTTCGCTCTCCGTGGCCTTTTACTGGGGACGTTTGGAACAGCTGGAACACCATTAACCAGTTTGTTTTGGGTTCGCTCGTCATTACAAATGCAAATGTGTGCGTGTCGTCAGGCTTTTCTAGATGGTTGGCGTGGTTAAGACCAGGAGTCCTGATGTCTGCGCTCATTCCTCTGGCCCAAAGGCACAGAGCTCTTGGGGTATGAAAGCGGTTGGATTTGGTTTGGACTGTTTTAAATCAGTCCTCGGCGGATTCTGAGATGGAATCAACGGCTTGGGACTAATCTACGTCTACGACTAATCTTACCTCCGCTAATCTGAAATGATTTGAGCGTTTTTGGACTCCCCTGGAACCAGTCCGACATCAGCTTCCCACAGCGGTCTCAGGGCCTGTGAGGTGCGACCACGGCTCAGGTGGACAAGTACCTTCAGAAGTAAAAGAGCATCATGTGTGTTGTCTCGCTCTGGTTTATTATTCCAATTGTGCATCAAGAAGTCGGTGAGCAAACGCCGTGAATTAGAAAAGAAAAGTTGTTATGCTCGGCTGAGGTGCTGCTGAGGGATGAAACCTGATTGTGACGAATATACATGAATAAATCAAATGGCACATGAAGCACCTCCTCTCCCCTGAAGAGAAACAGAAAGAGTGCGTGGAGAGAAAAGGGGACTGAGATTTGTTCGTTTCACTTTTTTAAAGTAATTTAACATTTAAAAAGAAGAGTTATCACGATTATCATGATTATTATGCAATTTATTTATTTTTAAGTCTCTCTTTTCTCAAATGGCACTTTTCCTGTTGATGTTTTAGTGGGAAGTGTTGGTCACTGAGCTCCTCACATATTAAGAACAAAGAGTGAAACTTACTTTCCAAATATTGGATCAAATTGCAGATATGCAACACATTTAGGGTCTTGAGTGGAAATCCTTGTCAAATCTGCATCACATGGATGGAAACCTTTTATTTGCATGTCACAAATAGTCCGCTTGACTATTTTATATTTCCATTTCCGTGTCGTTTTGATGAAGATAAACCACCAGTCATATCATGCCTGTGACCTCTGCGCCACCTCCATCTGCACCACAAAGAGCCCCAATGTGGCGCTGCAAATCACATTAGCACCCACTCAGCACGGAGCGCCGTCGTTCTGTGTGACACACACACGCATGTGCGCCTTAGCTTTCTGCAGCGAGAGGGGGAGGAGGGGGGGAGAAAGAGAGGGAGAGAAATAAGAGGAGGGCTGTGCGCAACGTCGGTGCCAATAGGCTCAGCGCTGTCTAATTAAAACCCTACCACGTAATACCCCCCCCCCCCCCCCCCCTCCTCCTCCGCCCCCCCCCCCCCCGGTTTAAATCCACCCCACCGGGGCGCTCAGCATCTAAACACACACCGTCCCAATCGCCCATCGCGTCCCGACCGCCGGAGGAGAGGAATCAGCCCCAACGACACCGCTGCCTCCCGGAGACATGGTTCGCAGGGCTCGGCTGCCGTAGCCAAAGGACCCCAGCCCCCTCCTCCTCCCCCACACTCCCCCACTGCATCGCCCCCCCCCCCCCCTCCCCTCCCACTCTGCCAGTCTGCGTGGAAGGAGGAGAAGCAGCAGCAGCAGCAGCGGTGAAGCAGAAGGAGGATCCGGCATCAGCGGCACCGCGGGGAGAAGAGAGCGTCTGCAGCCCGAGACGAGCATCCGATAGCCGGTCACAAGTCCCGCACACCGGGCCCCCCGCTGCACCGGAGGACGGAGACCATCCTCCCCGCGACAGACGCTGCCTCGGCTGCATCGGGTAAGGGCAGAAGGGCGGAAGGGGTGGGGGGGGCATTCGTGTAGTACAACGCAGATGTTTAGCCCTCCTTGACGATGCGCGCTTTACGCAACGCCGCCGCGGGTGTCGCGAGGGTCGCGTCGGGGGGGCTTCTGGAGACGCGACGCGGGCGCCTTTGCCCGCATGTGTCGGATTGTGTTTGGGGGACAGGAACCGGCCGATGGGACCTGAACCCGCCCCGCGGGACTCCTGCGGGGGTCGTTCGGTCGCGTTGAGACAGACGCCGGTGCTGCGGGTTGATCATCTGCTTGGATCGAGTAAGTCAAAAAAAAAAACCGGAGCCGCTCTTCCGCGCGGGCCAATAGGATGAGAGTATTATTTATTTCTTTTATGAATGACGCGAACGAGGATGGATGCGCGTGGTGCTGCTCTGTGCCTCACGGCCACGAGGAGCATTCATCTCAATGACAACTAGGAAGAGAAGAATCGGACCCTCGGAGTCGCCTCCTTAATTCGACCTTCTCGGAATTATGAGCTACGTGAATTCTCTTTGAGGAATGTGGGTCATCTTATAGCAACAATCAGGCTGTAACTTTGTAAAGATGTGCCTTATGCATCAGAAGAGTAGGATTACTACAATGTGAGCAGAGTCAAAGTTGTGTTGCTGTAATGCAGCGTGTCCTCTCAGCTCCGCATCGCATGCGTCTTGTGCCAGATGTGGAATTTTATCTGAAGTGGAAATCTCTTCTCGTTGGCAGTGTTGTGTGGTCAAAATCAATAAAGCAGGAGGCAGCTGGGGGGGGGTGCATGCACCGTGACACCTTCAATCCCTCACCAGGTTGTTTTGGGACTTCTCTCCTTTTCCCTCAGACGACGAGAAGAAGAAGAAGAGGAAGAAGCTTCACCTCTTTTTCTTCCCCATATGCCACCCAGCTGCGTCCGCACCACCCAGTCAGATCGAACTGGTTCCCGTCCTGTGCAGAGAGTCAGCTGACCCGACCCCTGCGGGGATGTTGGGAGGCGTCACGTGAAAGCCAGTTGGGGGGGGTGAGAGGTCAACGTGGCCGTCATTTGGGGGTGACCCTGGGGGGGGGGGGTGTAATGGTCACGTGGGGCACGGCGGCCCCCGAACAACTTGATCCATATTCAGGGGGAGATCGCTCCACTCGGCCCCATCGGGCTGATGAGCGGGGCTTAGCCTTCACGTGCTAACGCTAGCGGTTACATAAGGAAGTTGAATGTGTGGCGGGGTGTTTCTCCCTCCCGCCTGCACACACACACACACACACACACACACACACACAACTTGTATACGCACACATCTGAGCAGATGTTAACCCTGAGGTGTTAAGCCCCAAGCTGAGGTGTGTTTCATTGACTCCGGTGCTGTGCGATGCACTTCTTGCAGCCGGGTGTTTTCTCACACAGGTGACCTTGCCCTCGTACGTCACCGCGGCGGGTTTGCCCCCCCGACCGCTTGTTTGCGCACAACCCCCGAGAGTCACTTTGGAATAAGGAGTCTTCCTCGGGCCGCTGGTGGATCACGGGATGGAAGCACATGGCGGCTCGGCCTCTTGGCTTTCTCGCTCTTTGTCCTCCAGAGAGACAAGTGAAACCTTTGAATTCTCCCGACGCTCGGAGACCTCTGAGGAGCCGGAGAGGCCCCCAGGCTTTGGGTCAGGGTCCCCCCCCTCCACACCTACTCCCCTTGCATAGGAATGCTGTTTGTACATCTTCAGGCAGCAGAGGAAGGCCAGTGGAATTCGGCCCATGGAGAGGAAACAAGTTGTGTTGCATTTGTCATTTGCCTTTTGCATTTATTTCAAATTATCTGATTTTCATCTTAAAGAATTCTAGAGAAGCTCCTCTTTAAACCTTTGCCCAGAAATGTGGTCATATCTGTCCAAAAAAGACTAAACATACACAAAACAATCTGAATATGAAAGTTGTGGAAGTGACATTCCACTTTGTTTTTGTTGCTTTTAAGGTCGAAAACATTCAAATGTTACTTATTTAATGAAAACATTTTTACTGCCCGGCTTTGGTTTGATGAGATGTTTTATTATTACAAACACCAGAAGCCTTTCTGACAGCGTCGGCCTGCAAAAAACATCCCCGCAGTGACCGAAATAGTCCCGATGACGTCAGCGCGGCGTCCTCGCGGTGCTTTCTCAGCCGTAACAAAGCTGCTCTCGAGCCACAGGAGACATTACGCGGCTGTAGCCGTCCTCATGACGACTTAAGTGCATCTCGCGTGCCCTTTTGATGCACCACAGTACCCATAATTCACGTGCCGCGGGGCATCCCGGCTTATCAGATCTTTGCCAGGGAACGAGAGAGCATCGGATCCACCTCGAAACGGAGCTCCTGCGTCCCTGTCTCCACGCGTAGGGGCCACGTGGCCCCGCCGGGGTCGACCCCAGGTCTGTGACCCCCGTCCCGTCGTGATGAGGCCCACGATGAGGCCGAGCGGCTGCTCCGCTGGAGGTCCAGAACCAAAGACGACGCCGCCGCTCCAATTTGTGAGCACTTTGTTCGACTGAAACCCGAATCATTCGTCACTTTTTAGGAATTATTATCGGCTCTTTTGGCTCGAATATGTAAACAAATGTCGTTATTGTGTTTGATGTCAATTCAAACCACATTTCTGTTTCACACCAATTGAAACTAAATTATTATTTCCATCATTATCGACCCGAGATCCTCATGGTTGCCTTGTCAGAGCAACCCGGACAATGTGAGTGGAACATCTGCGTGAGCAAACCAGATGTGGAGCTTAAGCAACATGATTATTCCAATCCCCCGTCGTACGGACGACGAGCTGCTGCCAGTGAATCCAATCACAAGACGCTGGGCCGGATTGATGCGATACAACTGCTGCGCGATTCCGCCTCTTGTCCTCCAGCAAAAGCGTCGGAAAACGAAATGAGTTGGAACGAGAAAGAGGAAAGAGCATCGAGTCGAAGCAGTGAATCGGCCCGAGGGCGAGTAAGAGAATGACGACTGATGAGGAGGTTTGAACGAACATCGGCGATTAGGAGCTCAGAATGTGGCCTAACGGGGAGAAAAGCGTGCGTGAACCACTGTGTGTGTGTGTGTGTGTGTGTGTGTGTGTCTTTTGATGAGACGTGTTGGAGAACACACACTCAGAAAAGAGAGGTCCTCTGTTTCGTTCCCAGCGCTCTGCTCCACGTCCTCTCCGCGGGGACGATCACGCCGGCAGTATTTTGGGATTATGAAGTGCGGTGAGTTTTATCGTCGGCGTCCTTCAGTCGGACTCAGGAGTTTGTCCACTTGCCCGTCCTTGGTCGCCCTAAACCTCCGGATGAGTGTCCTAACGAGGACGCTCGGAGCGAAGCGCGGGGGGGCAGGGTGGACGTAGCCTCCGTCTACGCTCCTCTCATTCCACCTCTCCGCAGCGCCAGATTACACCTACACAAAGACACGCGGTCATGTGGTCCCAGTATCAGCGGCAGGAGGGATGTCCGTCCACTGGAATGTGACCGGTCCCGTTTCATGGGAGCCTCCTGTTTTTCCTCTTTGGCTGCTTCCCCCGATGGTTTCGACTGCGGCGACTTGTTTGCGTGTGTGCATCCTATTGATCGCTTAACTTGGCCGTTACTTTTGCTTGGTTATAGACGGCTGTCTGTAAACGGTCCTTGTGGGACATGAAAGCTTTGCTCCATCTGTTTCGGTGAAGAAAAAGGACCAGGTGAGTCTCTACCTCGGCCGCACGAGAGTGGGGCGGCGTTTCCACGGTGACGGGGGGCGAAAGAGAACGTTCCCGTTGAAATATTACAGCAGCGTCGTACCATGACACCGTCATTTAAGCTCAGCCGTTTCCCTCTGGCCCCGACTCTCGCAGCCTCTCCGGGCAATAACAAAGGGCCGATCCGAAATAGAAAAATCAATGTGGCGCCGGCCGGCTTGGACGCGTTTACGAGCAGCTGTAATGACTGCAGACTCGCTGCTGGTGCAAAATCACGTTGCAACCTGCATCTGTGGCGCTGCTCCCCGGAGCCGGGGTCCATTAAGCGTGACGTCCGCCTCTCGGGCCCGGCGAGCGATACTCTTATTATGCAAAGCGCTGCGGTGCGTGCGTCCCCCCCCCCCCCCCCCCCCCGGTACGTCACGCACACAAACACACAGCGTGCATCCTTGAGGTTTAGAGGATTCGCTGTGGGATATCTCCACCACGCGTCGGTGCGACAGGCTCGCCTGGCGAAGGGCGAGGTCTCGCTGAGTCGGCCCTTTCGGTCGCCGAGGGTATTTTTAGACGCCGGTCTCGCGCTCGTTGCTCTCTGCCAGGTGGGATTCAGGTTGTCGTCGGAGTCGGATTGTGGTTCCCTTCATCGGCCGTTTGACCAGAGCCCCTCACACCGCTTTCCCACGTCTCCCTCTACACCGGCGGGGGAAATCGTAACGCGCCGAGGGGGGTTTGTTGATCTCCCTCGGACGCGTCCACTTTGGTTTTATCTCCACGGGGCCAAAGGGCAGCGAAAAGGCCTGCTGGGGTGTTTTGGTGACGGGGACCACGTGGCCGCGCTCCAGCCGGTCCCGTTCGGTCCCGTTGCCGGTTTCCTTGGCAGAAGCGGGACGGAAAGATCTGGAGCAGCGACAACGGGGGGGGGGGAGCTCAGGCAGCGGCGCGCTCGGCCCGAGGCGTTGAGCGGAGATCAGGGGCTGTTAGGAAACGACAGAATGACTTTGGCGTCGTTTTATTTTGGCGGGGCCAGAAGGAGGAAGGACAACAGAACGGAGTCTGTCAGCGTATTGATTGCAGCTAAGGATAGAAGTATATCATGATCCTCCTTCAGCTCGCGGCAGGAATAGAACTGGCGCCCCCTGAGGGGAACCCGTCGGCGCTATGGATTGGTTTAGGGGTCGGTCACACAATGTCACATAACCCGTCGATGGGAAACGTGATTTATGATTTGGTCCAAGAATAGAACTGATTTTTCAAACCAGCGAATGTCCCCGTTGACTTTCTTGTGAAAGCGGAAGCCATTGTCGGGCCCACG